TCTCAGACGCCGCCGGATTCAGTTTTTGAACATCGAGAAATTTCACAAGCGCCAAAGCGGCGTCCCACACGACGCAACCGACATCGCCGACTAAATTTTGTTCAATTCGCAACACCTTTCCGACACTTTCCAAATCAATTTCACGCGCGAATTTTTCCATCCTGAAATTATGAAACAGATTAGCAGTAAAACGTTTGCAGCTTCGATCTGTCTTTTTTTTTCTCCCCCAAATATTAATTTGAGGATTGAGTTTGTTGGAACAGTGAAGATGATTTTGCAACTCAAGTGTTGATTTCTTGAATGTTACTTTGTTTCAACATTACATCAAAAATGTGAAAATTACATAATATTACAGGACCCCTGAACAAGTTTTGTTATTTGATCATTGCAAGAAAATTAATCATGCCCCATCTTACAATTTCAAAAAAGAAATTAGTAAATCAACAAACTTGAAAAATTATGCAATGAAAACAAAATATTTCGGTTTCTGACATTTTTGAAAAATTTTGCATGAAGAATGAAATGAGTGGGAAAATATCAACAAAACGAATGAAGTTTCAGCTCTACATCATAGTGTGCACAAAATGGGTTGAAAATCTTATTTTAAAAATGCCAGAACCCAGAGGGCATTCATTCATCTGTTTTCAAATTTCAATGACATTTGATACATCAATTTCAAGTACAGTAGAATCTTGTTACAACAATTCTTATGACAGGATGACTCTCTCTACAGCAAAATTCATTGGAATGAAAATCATTTCTTGTAGAAAATCCCTATTATAGAACCATAAAATAAGGGGGCCAAAAGAAAATTAAATCCACAGAAAAAAAAACAATGCATGCAATATCACAGTAGAGAGTTCACCTGTATAAAAATCACTTACAGTGAATTTGTCTCAGGTCCCTACATGTAAGCCACAATGTTATCAAAAATTCCTTTCTTGACAGTATTCTGTTATACAAGTGGACACCAGCTAAAACAATATTCAATGGGCCAGAAAAAGTTGGTTTCAGAGATACTTTTGTTGTATAAAAAATCTCTATATGAAGGGTAAAAACCCTTACAGTAGTAAAAAAAAAAGTTATTAAACATTCTTTGTACAGTTAGTCTACCAGTGACATAAGTACTGTATTTAAAGATTCCAAAGGCATTCTTGTGAGAAGGATATGCTGCAGTAATTGCTACACATAATTGGGATAACAATTCCACATTTGTTAAGCTGAAAATGTTTAAATTGGCAGATTTCTTGTAGATTTCACTGAGTAAGCAATAAAATGTCATATGATTTGTAACAAAATTTCCATTATAAAAATAGTTCCATAGAACAAACCTTGGCATCAAACAACACTTTGGTGACCACAGAGAAAGAAATCAATTCGAAATACACATTACAAAATAAGATACGCAGTCGCTTTCCACAAGAAAAAAACTTCATTTTAATGTCTCCACTTTCAGCTGGTAACAATCCACGGGAAAGCAAAGAGATGCAACAATCCTACTGTGTTTTTAAAACGAATAGGCTTAGCAAT